CTATGGTCTGACACTATTTGTACTCTTTGATCGAATAACAGTGTTATTTTTTATGGTTGGTCTTCGATGTTTTTGTTGTTAGAAAAATAGACATGAAATTAGATTAATCTTCTGCTTGTTGTAAATAACTACACTATGTATGTAAAATATAAATAAGGTGAATTAAGCTCACACTTTGGAGCTTCCGGTCAGGTGGCACCTTGACCCCAGAAGTAATACCCCCATGGGGTGGAACTTCCGGTGACAGGTGGGAGGGACCAAGGGGTTAAGGGGCGGGGCTTAAGGGGTCAAGGAGCGGGGTTAGGGTTTGATTGACGGTAGGGCCCTTATACTACTATCCTATTACCCCTGTAATAGCTAAAACATTATACCAGTTCAAGCACGACTAATAGATTCATAGATTCATAGATTCTAGGACTGGAAGGGACCTCGAGAGGTCATCGAGTCCAGTCCCCTGCCCGCATGGCAGGACCAAATACTGTCTAGACCATCCCTGATAGACATTTATCTAACCTACTCTTAAATATCTCCAGAGATGGAGATTCCACAACCTCCCTAGGCAATTTATTCCAGTGTTTAACCACCCTGACAGTTTGTATTTCATATAAGTAAATTCTTGCCATGTGTAAACTAAAGGAACAATCTAACAAACTAAGCACAGCCTTCCCCTCCATGCAAATTCTAGGAGGCTCTGCAGCAAAATGCCTGCTGCATAAGGCCAGAATTCAAGGGGTGACATCATGGCTCCATTGAAGTCAATGAGAGTTTTGCCATTGGCTTCAGCGGAGTCAGGATTTCACCCAAGCAGTTGCAGAGTTTCCCAGGGAGAGGTGAGTTTAACATATATATGCTTAATGTTAGGTACAGATTATTATATTGTAGGTGGGGCTGGTAGCACTGCCTATTCCCTATCATCAAGGTGGCCTGACACTTCTTATTATAAGATCCTCTTTTCAGTTGCTTATAACTTTGCCGAACTTTAACCATTTAGGCTGAAATTTTCCATGCCAGGAATCTGCCTCAGGCTGATTTTTTTTTTTTTGTCATTTAATTTCAGCCAAATTATGTTGTTTTTCCCATTTAAAAAATTCTGTTAAGGTTTTCTTTGAAAAGGCCTAGCACTCCCACACTTTGGAGCAGGGATTTGAAATTAGGCAGGTGGGTGGCCTTTGTGTCAGGATATGCCTTTTGCCATCCCTGCCTTGTTCTAACCACTCCCCTTCCCTCCTCCCCCCGAATTTGGCCAAGTTATAAGCCTCTGAAAAATCGCAGTTTGCACATGCTCAGTAGAGACTTCTTAGATTTTAGCAGCTAAGTTCCCTGAAGATTCATACTGGGCATGCTCCCATCCAGGGCTGAGCAGGACTTTCCCTGCAATTGCAGCTCTGGGCTGCTGCAAGCCATGCTGATTCTGGCTCCAGATACCTGAACTGAGAGACTGTTTCTCCTGTGCTCTCAGTGACTCCCCATCATTGGGCCACGGCAATGTACAAGAGGAAGCTGCCTGATTCAAATGCAGAGGGGACAAGAACGAGATCTGGAGAAGGGCAGTAGGAGTCGACTGGGACAAGGAGCCTGGGAGGGGAGATGAAGATTGGCTGGGCCAAGAGACTGGGAAAAGGAGCTGGCAGGGGATGACACTGATATTTGATGAGGCGCCTGGGGAGGGAGACTGGGGCTAAGAGCAGGGAGCCAGTGGGAATGTGTGTGGGGTGGGTGAGTGGAGGTTTGGGTGGGGAGAGAGACAGATCAGAGGAAGACCAGGTGATGGAAGACTGGGACTAGCTGGACAAGGGGACTGGACATTGTGGGGAAACTGGGACAGGTATGCTACTGACAGAAAAAATGGAATATTTCACTGTAAAGTCCATTATTGTAAAGAAAAATCATTTCTTTACAATGAAGGGGTGAGACTTGGAGCTTTTTTAGACAAACAGTGTGTGACAAGATGCAGCGTAAATCTACCTCGCACTTGCCTGCCATGCACTAACTGTCCGTGTGAGCCCTGCCACCATGCACTAAAAAGTTCCTAATGCTCTTTGATCTACTTCTGTCTCAAAGCAGAGCAGATCATAGTGCACTAGGGAATTTTTAGTGCGCAGCAGCAGAGTCCATATGGGCAGTGAGTATGCAACATGCTGGTGCGACGCAGATTTACACCCCAGCATACTGTGCATTAAATGTTCATCTGGACAAGTCCTAGGACCTGCTGGGCAAGGAGACTGGGACTAGGATGAGACACCTGAGAAATGGAGACTGAAACTTCGTACTTGATGAGAATGGGACTTGGATGAAGAGATAGAATTGGGACAAAAGTAGATGGGCCAGAATCTGATCTCAGTCAAATGTAAATCGGAAATAACTCCATTGAAGTCACTGGGGTACTCCAGACTTATTCCAGTGTCACCGAGTTCAGAAAATGGCCCAATAGTTGCAACTTGGGCTATAGGAATGGAAAAGTGCCATAGAATATGTTTGATGAAACTCATCACTGGTTGCCATTACAAAAAGTCAGCATTAGCTAACAATTACCAGGCATCAGTGTTACAGATAACATAAATTCCCCCAATTCTTAGAAGATAACTGTGGCAACTGTGTGAAATCTGTTAGCAAATATTTCTAATGTAGATGATTTCTCATATGCTAAATATTCACATAACAGAGCAACTAAAAGCCAAAAGTTAGAGCTGTAGACTTCCCCCTCCCCCCCAAGGTACCTGGAAGATTTCCATTGTTATCCACGTCATTTATAGTAGCTCCCCATCTAATAAGAAGCTGCAAACAACCCAAGCGGCCATGAAAAGCAGCATAATGAACTGGCTTCCAGTCATTCCTATCTGAAACATTTGCATCCTAGAATGAAAGAAGCAGGTTCATTTATTTAGTTCCTTTATGTTTCAGTGGAAACAACATGTACATCAGAGATCACATTTGTAAATAGAAATCAGGTATTTACAGTAGGTGACCAAAACAGTTATGAAAACCTATATAATTTTTAAGTTACTTTAAATAAAGATGCTATGAACAAATGATTCTCATTTATAGGCATATAGATACATACTTCCCCTATGTTTTTTTGTTTTATTTAAAAAATTAAAAACACACACATTATATATATAACATTTTTGACATACTCTGGCCATGTTGCTGCTCACAATATGTTAGATATAAATTTGTATTTTTTTAAGCTAAAAAATATCAAGATTGAAAAAGATCATGATAATAAAAGCTTCTGATCTCTATTTAACTGTCACTATCAGCTAATGAAATGTTCTACTTTTCCAAAATATTCATGCTTTCTAAATTCTTGGATCATTTTCCTTATGTGCCTCATAATAAATAACATTAATTTAAACTAAATATGCTCTCACCAATAGCACACAGATAATAACTAAACTACATGTCAAATCCTACAGTCCTAAGTCCCATCAAATCAATGGAAGTTTTTGTTTGCAAAAGTATACCATGATTTGGCCCTACTGTAGGAATTGTAATGATATAATGCAAGTGTAAAGTGTCCCCCCAAAAAAGAAAAATCCCCTCAGAAGATAAAATTTCCTCACCATTCCACTCCGGAGTATGGTTTGTAAAGTGTATGATTGTCCATGGGCTGCAGCTAGATGTGACGGATTGCATCCTCGATCATCTTGAGCTGTTAAGTTTACTCCATTCATTACAAGGGCCTAAATAAATACAAAGCAGAAATTCAGTTGACAAAATTAAAGAGCAAATGTCGCCTGGGAGGATTACTTTATACTGTCACCAGGGTAACTTCTGAGTGAAGTAGGAAGGAGTTCATGGATGTTGTCTTCTCTCATAGTGATGAGTGCAGTATATTGTGTGCCCCATCTCTCTGTCTTATATCTGCCTGTTGTGTCTTGCCTTACATTTAGATGATAAACTCTTTGAGGTAGAGACCATCTTTGCATTCTAGGTTTGTACAGCAGCTAGTATAATGGGGTCTTGGTCCCTGACTGGGGTTCTAGGCACTGTCACTATACAAACAATAAAGAACATAATAATAATGTATAGTAGATCTATCTTGTGTATAATTTACAATCAGACATGTTTCTAATTCTGAAAATATCTAGCTGAGGTTTCCAAAGACATCTAAGGCAGGGGTTCTCAACCTTTTCCTTTCTGAGGCCTGCCCCCCCCCCCAACATGTGATAAAAACTCCATGGCCCAACTGTGGCACAACAACTGGTTTTCTGCATATAAAAGCCAGAGCCGGCATTAGGGGGTAGCAAGCAGGGCAATTGCCTGGGGCCCCATGCCACAGTGGCCCCCGTGAAGCTAAGCTGCTCATTCTTTGGCTTCAGCTCTGGGTGGTGGGGCTCAAGACCTCAGGCTTCAGCCCCATGCGGCGGGGCTTCGGCTTTCTGAGCTGAGCCCCGGCGAGTCTAATGCTGGCCCTGCTTGGCGGACCCCCTGAAACCTGCTCGCAGTCCCCCAGGGGGCCCTGGACCCCTGGTTGAGAACCACTGATCTAAGGGATACAGATGTCCAGTTGGTATCTAAATATCCTATACAGCTTTGAAAACCCCACCATAGTGTACAGTATGAATCTTGTTACCACTTCTTTTCAGGACACTGGAGTAAATCCTCAGCTGGTATGAACTGTCACAGTTCCACAATGGGTGAGATCTGCCCTATTTACTTTTGATGTAAATATTTACACTTACCTGCATACAAGCATCATGACCTCTGATAGCAGCAAGGTGAGCTGCTGTCCAGTCTCTTATAGCTAAAGCTGTTATATCAGCCCCATGCCAAAGCAGCCAGTGAAGACACTACCAATCAAATCAAAGACAAAGACATTCACATTTGCTTTAAATATAGGTAATTATCATGGATCCAGTATACAGTTCTAATAGGGAATTCACTGCAAATATCAGTTGATATTACGTTTCAAAGCATTATCGGAATTCTTCATTATTACAATAAGCCACAACAGGGAATGCATTAGTAAGTTGTAGCTGCATTAGAAAGCTACAGCTTCATTCCTTCATCCATCCAAGAAATGTACCATTAGCCTACTAAAGCGGACCCAAGCATACCTTACTGATCTTACAGTATGGCTTATGTAATTTTACATTTCAATTTTAAAAGATTTAAGGTGTAACCTATAGGGCTATTTGTGTAATGTATCTTTCCATTATGAAAGTGGAAGGATAAATTTAAAAATTGGAGAAATGGGCACAAACATCCTTCTGTACAATTCTAATTATGTTTATTGCAAACAAAGAAAAAAAATCAACTCTTTGTCTTCCTACATTTTTCTGTTTAGACTCCCTGGACTTGTGGTACCCTTTCTCTCCTCCCATCCTCACTTTCAGAGGTATTTTGTGTTCTAGTGGTCACTTCCAGCAGCTCTAGATGCTCTCCGGAGCATCAGATAAAACTTTCTGTGTTAGATGTACAACATTTTCTCCAGCAGCAGTTTAAGCCAGGCTCCATCACTGGTTCCTCTGTTGTCTCTATAACTGGGGCATTGGTGAAGGTTGGCTAGATGAGACTCAACCCAAACAAGACCACAACCTGACTTACAGGGTGGGGGGGATCATTGGAAAAATGGCAGAAGTTATAGGAACAGCCCAGACTGATGAGATATGAGCACAGTTTGTTTCTAAAGACCAAAACCTGGGGGTCTTGTTAGCTCCCTGCTGGTTTCTGGACACGTGGAAAGCAGCGATGTATTTCTTATTACTTGCATTGAGCAAGAAGTTTCCTTTGGCATATGGCTCTTACCATAGTTACCCATGCGTTTGTCGCTTCAAGGTTAGATTGCTACAGTGCATTCCACATGAGGTTACAAGATGATACAGCAGCTTGTTCAGAATGTGGCAGCCCAGTTTTTAATCTCTGGAAGCTCATAACACTGGTGCAGGGGTTGTCAACTGATTTATGGGTAAATAGTTAAGGTGTTGATTTTGACCTGTAAACCCCTAAATGGTTACAGTCCTGTCAAGTCCTTCTTCAGTCACCTGATGTACTCAGACTAAGATTCCATTGGTATCAGAGGGAACTGGGCTGGTGGCACAGTTCTCAGATGGAATCAATGGCTCTTAAATTCACTTTTCATCTAGTTGGCCAGCGCTCAGATTTGATTACCTTTAGGACCTGCTGTAAATGTTACATATTTCCCTGGGCTTTCCCTGAAGTGACAGGGAGGCAGACTGAACAGGGTTGCTTGAGGGATGGAGGAAGGCATGAGTCTGTAAGGAAGACTATAAATGGAGCCTATGTTAGGACTGGGAAAGTCTCCTCTGGGTTGTTCTGTAATGTACTATGAAATCCTGCGACGCTGAATACACATAACATGCCTAAGGCATGGAAAAGGCACAATAAGTCTAGAAAACTGAAATGTGTCAGTATATAATGCCTGCATCTGTAACTTTCACTCTATGCATCTGAAGAAGTGAGGTTTTTACCCACGAAAGCTTATGCCCAAATAAATCTGTTAGTCTTTAAGGTGCCACCAGATTCCTTATTGTTTTTGAAAAATAAGATATTAATTTCTGCATCATATTTAAATTGTATATTCATCATGACAAGTTCCTGCTTTACTAGTGCTGAATGGATTTACTAAGCAATAAATAGACAAAGAGATTATTGATTCAGCCAGATCAGCATGAGTTTGCAAGCTTGTGTTCAGTCCCCTGAGAAGGAAAGCATGGATTCATGGGAACCTTGTTGTGTCCTAGATCTAAAAAAAGTTTTACCTCCAGGCTTCCAGAGTGTGCTGCACAGTGCAAAGATGTAAATTTTTGGACTAAATCCACCTCATTAATACTGGCTCCGCTTTTTACCATTGATGCAAGTTGTTCTACATCACCGGCTTTCACTGCCTCATGTATGTTAGCATAATTTGGCTTCTTCTTGACAGCTGTTGAAGAATAACAAAGGGTCATTAACCACTTGGATACACTGTGGGGACATGAAACATGGAATGAATCAGAAGATGCTGATATGGAAAGGTATATTAGTTTTGAAGATGCTTAACAGCAATATGATGAACCTGATCTTTACTCTGACGAAACTCCCCATCCCTAGTAGCCAATATGAACTTTTTCAGAATAAGGGCTGTAGGACTGGACGCTATGTCCGTGAGAATCTTTATCACACCGTCAAACCTACTGAAACATCAAGTTATCCTTTACTACATTTTGATACCAGAATGACAACTACTGTAGAGAGTGATTCTTTGTCCAGTAATAATGCTTAGCTCTTACATAGTGTTTGTCATTAGCAGCTCTCCAAGCACTTTGCAAAGGAGGTAAGCATCATTATCCCCATTTTACAGATGGAGAAGCTGAGGCTAGGTCTACACTACAGCGGGGTTCCGACCTAAGATACGCAACTTCAGCTACGTGAATACCGTAGCTGAAGTTGCGTATTTTAGGTCGGCTTACCTGGTGGTGAGGACGGGGGAAAGCCGACCGCTGCCGCACTGCCGCCGACTCCGCTGCCGCCTCTTGTCGAGGTGGATTTCCAGAGTCGACGGCAGAGCGATCAGGGATCGATTTTACCGCGTACTCACGAGACGCGGTAAGTCGATCCCCGATAAACCGATTGCTACCCGCCGGATCGGCGGGTAGTGAAGACGTAGCCTGAGACACAGAGACAAGCCCGAGGTCACCCAGCAGGGGAGCCAGGAATAGAACCCAGTCCAGTGCAGAATCCATTAGGCTACACTTACTCTATTAATCATCCTGTGTGGCTCACTATTACTAATAGCTATGGCATTTCTTAGGTAGCCATCAGCTTGTTATTATGACCTGACATCCTGCTCCCATTGACGTCTGTGACAACACTCTAAGAACATAAGAACGGCCATACTGGATCAGACCAAAGGTCCCACTAGCCCAGTATCCTGTCTTCTGACAGTGGCCAATGCCAGGTGCTTCAGAGGAAATGAACCGAACAGGTAATCATCAAGTGATCCATCCTCTGTCACCCATTCCCAGCTTCTGGCAAACAGTCTCAATGACTTTGGTGATGTAGGATCGGGCTGTAAATTTACAGACAGCATCATCCAGAGAATCTGGCACTGGAGTGGGAATCAGGTGACATCAGTTCTCTTCTGGGCTTTTCCACAAACTAGTTGTGTGACCTTGGGCAAGTCACTTAGGGGCAAAATTTGCAAACCTAAATAATGGCCTGGTCTGAGACCATGTATGGTTTTAGATAGTTAACTTCAGACAGCTAAGTTTAAAAGTAACCCAAAATGGCTAATAAGTTGTCAACAAAGAACCATCTTCCACAGCAGTGGTATCGGAGTGCAGTATTGTGTTATTTCATTAGGTTTGCCAAGGTGATGAGGATCCTCACAGATACAGGGTCCAATACTACAGATCACACAAGTTTCAGAATATGGGCCTTAACCTATTTGTACCTCAATTTCTCCCTGTGCAAAGTAAGAATGATAATGCTTATTCAACGCTGTAAAGCAATTTGAGATGCTAAAGAGTATACGTGCTAAGTATTATTAGGAAAAGCACCAAGCAATTTATGTAAAAAGTGCATGAATGTCCCTAACAAGTGTTCTCCTCTCGCGAGCTCCCCATATTATTGCTATTTAGTTATTTGTATTGCAGTGGCACTGAGAAGTCTCAATTGTAGACCCAGAGATCCACTGTTTTAGGTGCTGTACAAGCACAGAACAAAAAGATGGTCCAGGCCTCAAAGATCTTGGGAGGTTATTTTTGGCTGGTGGTTTTAGGGGATTTTTTGTTTTGTTTTGGAGAGGGGTTATTTATTTTTGTTTGTTTATTTTCAGAAACGGTGTCAGCAGTATCATTAGGACAGTAACCCAACAGACCTCAATGGAACTATACTGATTTACATCAGCTGAGAATCTGACCTACTGTATTCAATGAGAAGAACATGTAGGCACTTTGACAATGTTAATGCAATGAGTTTGGGTTAAATAATCTTTTCCATAACGCAAACACACAGAAGGGCTGGCAAACATAGTGAATTTTGACTTGTGGCGTTTCTTGGAAACACCTAATTGGTGAAGAGGGAGAGGTTTGCACTCCCCATTTTCTATGGAATGGACAGTGACCCTCTAAAACTGCAGATATAGAGATCTGCAACCTGAAAGGGTAAAGGTATTCCAGATGCCCAATAACTCTGTACTACTTCCCAGCTACCCTCCCAATTTGTCACATTTCATTGAATTTTTCATTGAAACCATTATCAAAGTGGTTATAGAAATTATTCATTAACAGATAATCAAGATTTCAGGAAACAAAAAAAAAATCAATAACTAATTTGGTGAAAATTTCAATACCATTCATGAGGTAAAAAAAAAAAAATCAGAAAAAAAATCAAAAACTGAACAATAGTTTCATTCTGAACCCTGTGAAGGAGAAACAATGCTGATACTTCAATTTTTTTGTTAATTAGTTAAAAAAAAAATCAGCCACGCACTGAACCTCTAAGGGGGTGTTTCAGAGTGCACAGAAGGAAAGATCTTATGATAACAGCAATCATAACCTCTTTGTCTGAGCCCCTTACAGACTTTAATCAGGAACCTCAGTGAGCCCCATTTATCAGTGACTCATCAATGGCACAGCCAGGACTAGAACCCAGGTGTCCTGACACCCCTGGGCCAGGCCAGAACCATATTTTTAACAGTTTGCCTTGCAGGATAAACCCGATGCAGTGACATCCCTGTGCTGTGACATGACATTACCCGATGCTGGAGTACGGCTTCCAGTCTACACAGATCAGGGTGGGGAGGAAGGATCATTCAAAATAACCTCCCTCTCCACCCCCCATGCCTCCCCCTTCCCACAAAGTCATTAACCCTTTGGCTCCAGCCCTTGATGAAGCTGCATCCTATGTGCTGGGAAGGGGCAGGAGCTGAGCCAGGCTCACCAGCTGGAGTGGCAGAAGCAGCAGCAGCGTTGGTAGGCATGTTGGTTACTCAGCCAGGAGGGAGCCTTTCCTCACTCATCCCCCTCCTCCTCCTCCTCTCTGTGCCTGCCTTGGTGGCTGCAGCAGAAGGGTTACTATAGAAACAGTGTACACTTCCTGTGCTGATCACTTCCTCCCCTCGGGACCACGGGGGCTGGGTGTCCCTGCAGCGTGCCTGGGGAGGGGGG